GAAGTAGGCCTGAACAAAATTGGATGGACGAGCGCACGAAGGCCCATCTTCTCGGATACATGAAGCAGAACAGTGTTCAATCCTCAACCCCGCTTCAACTTCCCACCTTCCGTCATCACGAGAAGCGGGTTAGAAGACAGAACATGAGGCAACGATATGGAAAAAGGAAAGGGATTGAGAACGCCCAAAAACGAAACTCACCAAAAAAAGAGACATGTCCCAGTTCATGCAATTTCAGAATTGCTCCTACTCCCTAATTCGTGACAGATGGCTATGGAAACTACGCAGCCGCTTCCTGGAACAAATGAAGTACTTTTAAGCAAACATAGCGAAGAGAGAATGGACGAGCACAAGAACACACGTTTTATCCCATATACAGAGCAGAAAAGCGCTCAATCTTCAATCCCCTTCAATTTCAAAGTTCTGCTGATTAAAAAGGGAAGCGGGGTGGAGAAATAAGGCCAAAATGAGAGAAATCTGGCAGAAAAACCATTGAGAATGGTCAAAATTCTCCAACTTCCACCGTTTAAAACGGGCGGGGCGGCTGCAGCGCATGCAGCACAGTTCCGGAACAGCTCCAGCACAGTGCGGGAACTGTGCGGGAACAGTTTCGGAACATGGGAATCAGCCATAACGCTCTCAACGAAGCCTACCACATGGGAGCAATCTGTCTTGTGATCAAAAAAAGGAAGTCAGAAATATTGTCGAAATGAAATAGAAGATCTCGAAACAAAGAAAAAAATACTGTTGCTTACATTTTACTTTGCAAAAGGGTCAGCATATTGTCGAAATCCCGCATTTTCAACCATAATGCCACGTCGTTAGTTTCCATTCCAAAACTTCTGAAGGCACCGCAGCATTGGCGCGTTTAGAAGAGGCGAACTACCTTTTCCACTATCTAGTATCCTAAATGAGGAACATCTCGTGAAATGTGAGACGTATCCACAAATTCAGGAGATTACCGACTAGGATACGACCGAGTTTGAAACTTTCACAAATCTACTATGACAAAACTGTGTGCTTTTAGCTGATGAAAAATCGAGAAATGCGAAACGCGGGAAGTGAAATCAACAACAAGAGGGATCGGGAAACGACACAAGACCAGAGTAGACAGCAGCTAGCTGATTGCAAACTAGACATCAAAAAGTGCAAGCCGAAGCCTCTCTAAAGGTAGTTTTCGAATTGAGAAAGGCACCAAGTGAAGAACAACCGATGCCAAAAACATAATGTACCATAGATAAGCAAATTCAAGAACAAGTGAACAAAGCAAATGATCAATGAACAACACATGGCGAACGACTACACCTAAAATTGATGGTGAAGCAGTTTACTATCAAAAATGGACGACAAAAGCGTTATAAGGGAAAGAAAAAAGCAAGAGAAATGAGAACATCACACCATGTCGGCTATAGGAACGCCGTCGCGCATATGGATTAGCACGCTTTCCCCCTTAAGAAACGGGGTTGCTGAAGCTATTTTTGGCTCTAGCACTAAGAAGAGGAGGAAATTTGAAACCACCTCAATATATACTAACCTTTAGGTGTAGAGTAGATTTATGTAAAAATTTTGAGAAAATTATGTGAACTGAAAGTTTTGACAACCTGGGATAATTTGGAAATAAGTTGAGCACGCTCTTCATTCACATAAGTTTTTCATAATTTTGCATACTCTGTTACTTAGTCATACTGCGCATATACACACCAAATCCCGCGCGATTTCGTTACCTCTGCGTTGCAAACGAGCCATCTTTCCGTTCCTTTGGTAGCGGGAAATTTTCAGAAAAAAGTTTGCCACAACCTTCAGTCACATAGTTTTTCATTGAAACTTCTCAGTTAAACCCTGCAGGCCCGTGTGCATGTATGCAACAAGTTTCATGCCATATCGTCATCTGCGCGTTGCAAACGAGCCATTTGAATCAACATTTTCATTTACCAATTTTGCAAAATTTTCGGAAAAAATGCTTATTACTCGTTTCGTTCACATAAGTTTTTCATAATTTTTTATACTTTGTTTCCACCAGCCTCTCTCCGTCCGCTTAGAAAATTTGGTGCCATATCGTTGCGCATACATTGAGAACTGCTCATGTATGCTGTTACAAATAGCATCGTTTGAGCGACGTCGCGCTTGCGGCAATTAGCGACGGCGCGGTTTGACGCGCGCGAACTCCAGTGTTCGTCTGTTGAGGCGGGTGTAGGCCCTTTTGAACCCTTCGCGCGCGATGCCCAGTCTCGCTATCCTTCTTGAGACTGAGAAAGTTCTCGCGCTCCAGGTACAACTCCTGTAGCGACATCTTTCGTCCAGCCTTGTACTCCTTGTCCAGTACGGCAATGAGTCGCTGTCTGATTTCGGCTCCTTTCTGGCTCTTCAAGCCAAATATCCACAGCAGGCACTTGATTCCATCACTGTCCAGCTCATGGATCTTCTTCGCACAATTCGTTCACTCGGCCGGTGTACATGAGGTAATTTTCGGAATCCTCCCTCTCCAGCTTTAAACACTGGTACCGCACTGTAAATTCGGATCTTCACGTCGAATAGTTGCTTTGATGTTTCGACGGTTTCTTCAAACTTAATCGCTGTCACCTCTTTCGGTAGCACATGCCTCTGATATTTTTCGAAACATTCCTTGTCGAGCTGTTCGCAGAGAAGCCTCACCCTGGCACTCTCTGGCAGCTGCTTCGCATCTTCGACGAAGACTTCCTTGTAGCGCGCATACCATCTGCTGGAGCATTTGCCCGCTTCTAAATCGAAGTAAAATTTTTCGATCCGGTTGCCCAGCGCGGACATCATGTTCCATGCTCCCGACGATGTACTGGGCTGCCCAGTACCTGCGACGTGCTTTAGAAACGTCTTTATCATTTCTTGCCTCTCTTCTCTCATCACTTCCCTGAGGCTCTTCTAGTCTTTTCTGATCAGTTCCTTGAACATGATCATTAATTCCTCTGTGCTTATTTTTGCCTTTTGTGACCACTCCAGCTTTCGAGATTTCGGCGACGGAGATCTTCGACGTGGTTCCTGGCGTGCTTATTCGTTACGGCTACTTCCACGCTAGTAGCCGCTGCCTCCTCTGATCGCCACTGTTGCGTCCTTCACTTTGGACACTCTTCGACTGGACGGCACAGGAGCAGGAAGGAATAATTTATTAGAAAATAATAGAGCAGGAAAAATAAGAGAGGCGATGAGTGAACAAATGAATCATGGAACTGTAGAACGATAGAACTAACTAAGGCTATGAGTGAGCGCCATTTATAGCGCTCAATTTCCGCGCACTCTGAGGTTGCGATCGACTACGCGAGGCAGATCACTATGAGGAACAACTGGTCAGTAACAATCACAACAATATTGAAAAGCAAATCTTTTTTATCTTTGAATACAAATCATGAACTTAGTTTTAGTTGATGATTTGAAGAGTTATCAAACTTTATCTGATTTACATAAGAATTCTCGCATCGACCTGATATTTGGAAACATTTAAATTTGTTAGCGAATACTTTAATAATTTACCCTTCTTACATGATTATTATAGTACTAGCTGGCTTACCCGGCTCCGCCGTATGTTCCGAATAGAAAATTCCATTTCTTAACCGATCCGGACCAAACTTGGCATACATACCCTTCGGGCCCCGGCGGGTGTCACAGTCCACTTTTCGTTATCGATCGATGTCGATTTTATCGATTTTTTGCAAAATTTGAGCTACGGGGCTGGGAGTTGGCAGAGGGGTGTGGTCGAGCATGCTGATTACGAATACAATATTAGTTTTCGAAACCGTGCATTACTTTTATCGATTTTATCGATTTTTTTGCAAAGTTTGAGCTACGGGGCTGGGAGTTGGCACAGGGGGTAATCGAGCATGCTGATCACCCCCACGGGAGTGATCAGCATGCTCGATTACCCCCCTGTGCCAACTCCCAGCCCCGTAGCTCAAACTTTGCAAAAAAATCGATAAAATCGATAAAAGTAATGCACGATTTCAAAAACTAATACTGTATTCGGAATCCCCATGCTCACTTACCCCCTGTGCCAACTCCCAGCCCCCTAGCTCAAATTTTGCAAAAAAATCGATAAAATCGATAAAAGTAATGCACGATTTTAAAAACTAATACTGTATCCGGAATCCCCATGCTCACTTACCCCCTGTGCCAACTCCCAGCCCCCTAGCTCAAATTTTGCAAAAAAATCGATAAAATCGATAAAAGTAATGCACGATTTTAAAAACTAATACTGTATTCGGAATCCCCATGCTCACTTACCCCCCTGTGCCAACTCCAGCCCCCTAGCTCAAATTTTGCAAAAAATCGATAAATATACGAACTTCGCAGCTCGTATTGTTCTTTTCTCCCTCATATAGAAACTCATCACATCCTGGTAGTTTAGTCATACTTTGCCAGTTGCAAAGCATCGATGATTTGCATCGTTTTTTACTACTGGAGGAATTCGCAGATGTTGGCATCAGATGTGAATTGCTCATGGTTTTTTAGTTACCAGTAGGATGTCGCGCGCAGCTGTGGCTCGATGATGTGATCGTACGCATATAAGTAGCTGACAGTGCACACTCAGAGTTATTCACTTGTACTACTTTTGCTCATTTGCTTTAACATTATTCACTCACATATCTTGCCTTCTTCCAATCATAGCATTCCTATTTGTAGTTCATCATTTAATAGTATATTTTGTTATTTGTTCTATCCGTGTTTGTTGTTGTTATTTGTTTCCTATGATAAAGTTTAATTACCCAAGTTTGAGGTGTGCTCGTGTTGTCCAACGCTCAAGACCCGCGTGGCAGATAATCTTTGTGGTTGTGGTTCACAAGTGGTATTCGAAGCCTTATAGTTCTGACTATATCCCAACCACTAACCAATACAACTGGTGCATCGGCCGAACTAAGAAGGTACACATTATTGCGACAGAGACAGCTTCCTTTGCTTTGCTTGCACTACATCTACGATTGAACAATAGAGATTTACTCTCACAGTTGCACAGCTTATCTACCAGCACTTACATCATGACGACAACAATAAGAGCATACAAAGGATTAGTGACAAAAAGGAATGATGTGGCACTGAACTGGCTACAAGAGTTGGCTCAGCTCCTTCAAAGGATAGAACAAGGAGGCGTAGCAGCGCAACGCGAACGAGCCAAGGAGATCACAATGGACATCACCACATGCGAGGAGTACATAGATCTTCTGGAAGCTTCAGTAACCAAGTTAACGAAAGCCTTCGACGGTCTACAAGACGCCACCGACGAAGAAGAAGATCAACTAGACAAGTACGTGGAGAGCGCACAAGAAACAATAATGAAGCTGCATGCGCACCGGTCCCAACTGAGAAAGTGGCAGACTGACATCACGGAAACGCACAGAACGGGAACCGATTTGGCAAGTTCTGTGGCAGTCAGCAAGCTCCCTGTGATACCCATCCCTACATTCACGGGGAAGAAATGGGAATGGGACAACTTCTGGGCTTTGTTCAAAGCCAATGTGCACGACCAGGAGTTGACAGAGCTCCAAAAATTCAACTACTTGCTTTCTTCTTTGAGTGGAGAGGCGAAGCAATCAATATCTCGGTTCTTCGTTTCGGCAAATAACTACGAGAAAGCCATTCAGCACCTTGCCAAACGATACGGAGACAAAAGTGGCATAGTACGACAGCTGAACAGGAATCTGAAGAGCTGTTCAGCAAGAGGACCAAGCACATTGGAGCAAAGACAATTGTGGGATAAGCTAGCAGCAATAGCCAATCAGTTGGAAGAACACGAGCAGCACTTGGACAACGAACTAACAATCGACACTTTTCTGGAAAAATTCCATGTACGCATACGAAGAGAAGCAATGGACAAACAGCTGAGGAGCGAAGAGGGAAATAAACAAGAATGGACACTAAACCAATGGTTGGACGCCATTGATGAAGCCATTTCACGAGAGGAACAACTAAACGACAGACTCTCGGCAGAATCGCAGCAGATCAAAACTCCGGCACCGACAAACATGAGAAGAGTCAACGTGTGCGAGTGCTGTGGAAGCAAAGGACACAGGTGGACTACCTGCCCACAAATTCCCACAGCAACGCAAAGGAGGAATTTTCTGCTGGAATCCAACCGATGTCTAAACTGTGGGTCAAACAATCACAGGGTAGCGGCATGCTTTAGCGGCAACTGCCGAAACTGCAACAAAAAACATCACACGGCGATATGCTCAGAAAAAAGGCCAAGTGAAATGACACAAAGCAGACCACCTATCAGTCAACAGAAGAAGCCGGAGGGAGCGAGAACACCAAAAAATCAGCCGACGACAGCTGCAAAATCCTACAGTTCTTCGAAACAACATGCGGTAACGGAGACACTCGGACAAGACACTCATCTCACAAAACAAGGAGTAACGGAAAGTGCCGATTCTCCAACCGTACTACAGCTAAAGAAGAAGAACGATTGGAAACAAAGTAGGGTAGTTCTACTTACGGGAGCAGTACAAGTGCTTGACGCCAATGGAAACAAAAGAGAAACAATCGTCTTATTGGACACAGGCTCGGAACTCTCATTCATTGGAGAGCAGCTCGCGAACGAGCTCAACTTGCCAACGCTAGGTACAACTTCTCTCGAGCTCAGCACATTCGGGTCATCATCACCGAAAACGAAAAACTGTGCGTTAACGCTTTTGAAGATGGTGGACAAAGAGGGTACACAGCATGAGCTGCAGCTGTATAAGAACGACTATATTACAAGCACCGTACGACGAGCGTGCCTCGATCATGAAGATTTGCAGTTTATCAAGAGAGGAAATTTCGACTTGTCTTTGCCGATAGAAGGTGGAGAGTTGCAGCCGCAAATTTTACTGGGTTGCGACCATCTCTGGAACTTCATGGAAACAAGCAACAAACTGAGTCTACCATCTGGACTGCAACTGATATCAACGAAATTAGGGTACATCATCAGCGGACGACAAGGAGACTTCCCCACGAAACGGTCGGTATCGTGCACTCTGCAAGGATATGAAATCGAGAAGGAGACATGGGATCGCTACTGGTCTCTGGAATCCGCTGGCACAGAAGAATTTACTGGTCCACAGCAAACGGAACTGCAACAAATAAACGAAAAAGTGCTGGAAAACTTCAAGAAGTCTATAGAAAAGAGAGAAGATGGCTATTACGTACGCCTACCATGGAAGGAGAATCACCCAGAACTCCCAGACAACAAGGCACTAACAATGAAGCGCCTCGTTAGAACTCTAGAAATGTACCAGGGCGATAAGGAAATGTTGCAGGCATACGATAACGTCTTCAGCGATCAACGTGACAAGGGAGTAATTGAAGAAGTAGCACCGGAGGACGCTGACAATGGAGAAGTGATCCATTACTTACCGCACCAGGCAGTGGTCACCCCTTCTAAGGAGACGACAAAGATGAGGATCGTCTTTGACGCATCAGCCCATTATAAGGATTGTCCCTGCCTCAACGATGTGCTCCATCAAGGTCCTCTTATTTTGCCTGATCTTGTCGGAATCTTGCTTCGATTTCGAATTCCGAATATCGCAGTGATGTCGGATATTGAGAAGGCATTCCTACAAGTACGACTGCAAGAAAAGGATCGTGACGCCACACGGTGCATCTGGGTCAGGAATATCTCACTCCCACCCACGCCGGACAACATAGTGATCTACAGGTTCACCAGAGTTACCTTCGGACTCAATGCTTCCCCCTTCCTCTTGAGCGCTACGATAGATCACCACCTAGAAACCACAGCAAGTGATGACGAAATGGCCCCGGAAATAAGAAGGAATTTGTACGTGGACAACTTGTTCTTTGGTGCACAATCTTCAAACGAAGCACTTTTGAAATATGCACACACAAAGAAGCTCTTCCAAGATCTCAAAATGAACTTGAGGGAATTCTGCTCCAATGACAAAACCTTCTCCAACGCCATTGATGAGGCCGACAAGATGAAATCCACCTGCCCCAAGGTCCTAGGCATCGCATGGAATTCGGAAACGGACAAGTTCATTATCAAAGGCTCGATGACAACCTTGAAGGGAAAAGATACCAAGCGAACAGTCACACAACAACTTGCTTCTGTGTATGATCCAATGGGATTTCTGGTGCCTCTACTACTACCGGCAAAGATATTCATGCAGTCACTATGGAAGGAAGGATTAGATTGGGACACACTGCTTCCAGCGCAACTGCGTGATCAGTGGCATCAAATAACATCAGAAATTGCAACATTTTACAAGGAAGTGAATAGACGAATTCTCAGCAAATCCAATGGCTACAGACTCGTCGTTTTCACCGACGCTAGCCAATACGCAATCGCAGCATGTGCGTATCTCACCTCGCAAGAAGAATCCAACATCATTATGGCAAAATCCAAACTGCCCTCCATCAAAACCTCGATGACGATTCCCAAGTTGGAGATGAATGCACTGACGCTAGGCGTAAGAATGTCTCGCTTTATTTGTGAAATGTTGGAACCATCCTGCAAAATCAAGGAAGTGATTCTATACACAGACTCGGATATCGTGTTAGGGTGGATAAGAACCCCTCCATCGCGACAAAGCGCAGGCATTTTAGTCACAAACCGATTATCAGAGATTAGACGAATCAGCAATGATCTCCGCAGTCGCAGCACCACGTGTCTCTTCGGACACGTCTCAACGGCAGAAAATCCAGCCGATTGCGGAACAAGAGGACTATCAGCAGAAGCTTTACAGAACCATATCTGGTGGACAGGACCTGGATTCACCAACAAACCGGATCATTCAAAGCTGAGTACGGTTGCTGATTTCGAACAATCAACAATGATGTCAGTGGAGGCAGTAACTCTAAACTCGTCAGAAGAGGTATCTAAGGACGGTGGTGGTGGTGGTGTGGTCGACTTAAGCAGATACAGCACCCTTGAGAAAGCTCAGAGAGTGCTAGTGTATGCACTTCGATTCATAAACAGATCCCTGAGTCATTTTCCCCACGAAAGAAGATTGGCAATACAACAACACATACCGGCTCTCAAGGAAATTTCACCGTCACAAACCATCACCGGGATTGAGATGCACGAAAGTCGAATGTGCTTGATTCGAGACCATCAGAAAAACTAGATGAACGAGCATCAGATCAAGTCGCAGAAGGAACTGAATATTCGACAAGACGAGAATGGAATCCTGCGCTGTTACGGACGTCTACAACAAGCAGATGTACCAGTAACGGCAAAAACACCAATCTACATTGCACCCAAAACTATGTTGGCACGTCTAATCATCTCGGAAATTCACGGTCATTATCACCGCGGAGTTGCTCATACCATGGCCGCCGTACGCGAAACGTATTGGATACCCAAACTTAGACAGCAAGTGCGAAGTTGGATCCAAAAATGTGTCCCATGCCAAAAGATGAACAATCTTCCTTTTATCTACCCTGACATGGAGGCATTACCAGTAACAAGAGTGCACCGTACGCGTCCATTTGAGCACATAAGACTGGATTATTTTGGACCTCTGATGACCAGTGACAACCATGACGGATCCAACAAGGCATATGGGTGCATCTTCACATGCCAAGTAACGCGACTCATACATTTAGAGCTCGTGGATAATATGACGACCGAAGCATTCCTAAACGCACTGAGAAGATTTTTCGCAAGAAGAGGTGTACCGCAGACTATCACCTGTGACAACGCACCAACATTCTTGTTGGGAGAGCAAATCCTGGAGGACGCCACAGAGAATATGGTGCACAGCGCGGAAGTAGAAAGCGAAATAGCCAGGCGAGAAATTAAGTGGAGCCATATAACGCCTTATGCACCGTGGCAGGGTGGATTTTACGAGAGGCTTATCCGCTCCATCAAAAACTCGCTGTACAAAACGCTTGGAGCACGCACCATCACCTTTGACTGCCTCAGGACGATGCTAACAGAGATAGAAGCGGTTTTAAATTCACGACCTCTTACCTATCAGGAAGAAAAATGGAAAGAACAACCACTACTCCGACCAATAGACTTTATCCAAAACAAGATAATTTTGGATTGCCCTCTGGAGTACATTGGCAGAGAAGGTCAAGACAAAGTGTACCACACACCCGAAGAAGCACAGCAGTTGGCAACGCAGCGTCAAGCAGAAGCAGCCCTGAAGACATCCATCGACTTAACCGAACGATTCTGGAAAATTTGGAGTGAGCAATACATCAATAGTCTAAGAGAGCAGCACAAAGTCCGGATGAACGAAAGGCGCGGAACGAAGAAATCACCAAAAGAAGGAGACATCGTACTTCTTTGGGACGCCGTACAACCAAGAAACACATGGAAAACAGCGCGTATAATACAAGTGGACAATTCTCCGCAGAAAACATTGAGAGAAGTTTTGGTAGAAACACCAAACAAGCGCCGTTTACGACGACCAATAAATCGGGTTGTACCTCTCGAGATTGGCAAAGAAGAAATTTCGGAAACCTCTCCACCAGAGGTACCAGCCACACGATACAATCTTCGTCCAAGAAGAGCCATCAGCTACACTGAGCAAGATAAAGAAGAACCGACGCCCAGAAATGCACCAGCATACCCTTTGTCGGTAAAATCATTGCTAACGGTAACGCTACTCTCGATGTGCAGAATGGGAACGACGGGAACGAACATCAACGGCAGTTATCACCTTCAATGTATCGAAGGAGGAGTATCTCTACTGCAACCAAGTCAACAGCCCTACGAAATCTGTGCAGAAGACTTTTGCTTGGAGTTCGAAGCACCTCGCCGACAGGAGTTAGTGAAATTTCCTCCACAAATAACTCTGCACGAACAACTCGTGAGATGGAAAATCTTTGATGGAGAAGAGGTTCATATGATGGAAACCACCTGCAAGGCAGCACCTTTTTGCAAACAGATAGACTGCACCTTTTGTGCAGTAATGGTGAGCAAGCCAGAATGCTGGCCACGCACTGCCATTATGGTCACCGGATTGTTAATATACTTGATAATAACTATGTGCTACTGCCTATTTCATGTGCCAGTGTTGATCGGAACTCCGTTACTCTATGGACTGAAGTTAGTCGGCACAGGCGGATGGTGGACATTCAAGATACTATGGCATATGCTGAAAATGGCAACAGGCACATATCGACGTCGAAGAAGAAGAGCATGGATGAGAAACGTCGTTCTTTTAACAGTGCTCTGGATCAGTGGTCTGACAATCGGATGTCAAGATGTCGACGTGCTGACGCATCATACTCAAGCATGCACACAACTTGGAGACGAGGAATACTGCAAAGTTGACACCACAGAGGTACTGAAGATCAACCCTTTCAAGCAAGAAGCCTGTATGAGACTTACAAGCAATCAGACCAGTATCCTGGAAATCAAGCTGACGTGGAAGAACCTTAATTTGTTTTGCGAAAAGGAAACTCTCATGTTTTCCAGGAGCACTAGATACGCACTTCTGGATAGCAAACGCTGCCTCCATGCTGGATCATGTACAGGAGAAAAATGCGCAGGGATACATCGGACATCAAAGGTGGCAGAATTGCAGCGAGTCAATGACTACCCTGGTGTCACTGGATGTGTCGAAAGCTGTGGAGGACCAGGTTGCGATTGCTTTTATCCAAGCTCGGAATGCCTATTTTACAGAATATATCTTGTTCCCACGGATGACCATGTGTACGAGATCGTCAGATGCCCACGCTGGAAGCAATCGGTAGAACTACGACTTATCGTAAACGAGCAAGGTTTCTTGCAGCGAACCCACAACTTTCATGTTATCCCGAATCAACCGAGAAACATATCACCGTTTACAATCACCCTTTCGTCACTGAGCACGCCACCTACGCCAGCATTGAACTCAATCTTTATCACAGATGGGAGGCGACATGCCATTATGGAAGCACACCAGGAGCCGCCGCTAGTATGTAGAACATGGGAAGACGCGCGGAACCTTACTTGTGATGTGTACGAAGACTGCAAATGCACAGCTGCCGAAATCAAGATGATGTGCGACTGCAAGGAGGTAAATCTCACTTCCTTGATCAGCACCCCACGACGCAGACTGCCGATTATACGACCTAATCTCGAATTTCGCATCTTCGACGAAAGGATCAGAGCTCGCATACCACAGCTGCCAACCGCTGAATTTATACTCCGAATGAATGGCAAAGTTCGCACCATGTCTTTGAGATCCGACGCTACGTGCACTATTGCGAACGCGTACTGTACAGGATGCTACAATTGTGCGAAAGGCGCAACAGCATTGCTCACGTGCATAGCTTCGGTAGCGACAACAAAAGCCGAAGTCCAATGTGAAGACAGCTTTTTCGTCATCCCATGCAGTAAGGAAGGAACGGAAAGCAATATCACGTTTATCGCTGATAAAGCACAGTTTCACAGGAACTGCACGGTACAATGTGGAAAAGCGCAAGCTGCATTTGAGATCTCAGGCATTCTTCACTATACCGGTAACCTGGATATGGCGGCGAGAAGAGTACTGCAAGGAGAAAGCGAACTGTTTTCCGAGATCAATTTACCCGATTTCACGCACTTAGCGCAGACATTCCTGATGTGGGGCAGTGTATTAGGAGCGACAGCACTGGTTGTAATAATCGCCTTGTTGATAACGTACTTCTACGCCTCCAACACTTGTGTATTCTCGGTCATTAGAGCCCTCTGTGGATTACTCTATGCACTGGCTAAATTGGCACATCGAATGGTTCGACTCTTCTGGCTGTTACCATACCGATTTCTTCGAATGCTCTGTTCACTCAAAAAGAAGAAACCAGAAGAAAAGGACTTGTGAGATCACCAGAGATTACAACCACAGCGACAGCGCAGCAACGACAAACTAGCCCGTCCCGAACTCATTGGTGAGGCCGGAGTATACGAACTTCGCAGCTCGTATTGTTCTTTTCTCCCTCATATAGAAACTCATCACATCCTGGTAGTTTAGTCATACTTTGCCAGTTGCAAAGCATCGATGATTTGCATCGTTTTTTACTACTGGAGGAATTCGCAGATGTTGGCATCAGATGTGAATTGCTCATGGTTTTTTAGTTACCAGTAGGATGTCGCGCGCAGCTGTGGCTCGATGATGTGATCGTACGCATATAAGTAGCTGACAGTGCACACTCAGAGTTATTCACTTGTACTACTTTTGCTCATTTGCTTTAACATTATTCACTCACATATCTTGCCTTCTTCCAATCATAGCATTCCTATTTGTAGTTCATCATTTAATAGTATATTTTGTTATTTGTTCTATCCGTGTTTGTTGTTGTTATTTGTTTCCTATGATAAAGTTTAATTACCCAAGTTTGAGGTGTGCTCGTGTTGTCCAACGCTCAAGACCCGCGTGGCAGATAATCTTTGTGGTTGTGGTTCACAAGTGGTATTCGAAGCCTTATAGTTCTGACTATATCCCAACCACTAACTAATACAATAAAATCGATATCGATCGACACGAAAAGTAGCCTATGACACCCGCCGGGGCCCGAAGTGTATGTGTGCCAAGTTTGGTCCCGATCGGTTCAGAAATGGAATTTTCTATTCGGAACATACGTATAGGGGCCTGCAGGATCGCGAGAGTCGGACGCGCGTACGGCCTTTGCGACGCGCACGCCTGATATCGCTGGGTCGTAGTCGATTAAGGCTAGATAGGTAAGTTTTTTTGTTTTTCTTTACATTTCACGCCTTCTTTTCTTTTCAGACGGTGAGCACATGTTGGTGCGGAGGAGTTTAAGATCTGAATTAAGGTGAGGTGCAGGATTTTGCTCAATACGGACTCAATATTGCAGACCTTCCATGCCTGCTGGTTGAGATGTTGGATTTTCTGTCCTGGCTGCCCTGTTACAGCAAACTGTTTTATTTCTACCGTCTATTCTACCTTATCTTGCATATTGCTTGTGATGATGATGATGATGACAATGATTATGATTGTGATGACTCGCATGATGCAAGATGAGGTAGAACAGACGTTGCAAATAAAACGGAGTTTCGTAACTGGGCAGGCAGGACGAAAAATCGAACATAATCGGACAGCCAGAACAGAAAACTCAACATTCTTCAAAGCAGGGGTGAAAAGCCCACAATATTGGCCCGTATTGAGCATAATCTTGCACCTCACCTTAATCTAGATCTTAAACTCCTCTGCACCAACATATGTTCGCCGCCTGAAAAGAAAAGAAGGCGAGAAATGAGAAGAAAAACAAAAAAATCTCACCTATCCAGCCTAAATCGAGTACGACCCAGTGACATACGACGTGCGCGGCGCAATGGCCGTACGCACGTCCGACTCTCGCGATCCTGCAGGCCCCTATACACACATACAGACAGACGGACATACATACATACATACAAACAGACATTCAGCTTTATATATAAGATTTGTGTGAGTTTAGAAAGAATCACTTATTTTAGACTTCATAAAAGACGTGAAACTTTTTCCACTCACTTATTACCTCAAAATAGCCTAAGGAACACATTCCCAAAAAATCGCAATTAAAAGTATGCAAAAAAGTCAAAAATGGGCTTTTTCCCAGCTCACCTTGCTGCTGGAAGTAAAATGGGCTTTCAAATCCATTTAAAATGGGTAAATCCCAGTTTGCCCCATCCTAAATGGACTTTTCGCATCATTCTTTCGCAAGCGAGAGCTCAAGTAGGGTTGAATCATTTCATCACACCGCTTTGCCTTGTGGTTGCGGTGAGATAAAAATTCTTGGATAACGCTGGCGAAAGCAGATTCCGACCAGTTTCTACCGCGAACGAATAAAATAGCGTTTGGAAGTCCATTTTCCTCCATTATGGACTTTCGTGGATATCATTCCTGGAATGATATCCACGAAAGTCCCCGCGAAATGGGCTTTTCGTGCGAATAAAATGGACTTAGTCCATGCGGTGCGATAATATATCGCATTCGCGAATACATTCATTCCAAACAAAAATGCTTCAACTAACCTTTCTCCAACTTGTCTCAACCTGTTTGCTTACTCTTGCAAACTCATTTCCAAGTGGTCGATATCTAACTAGGCTGACCTAACATTACAATGTCACTCAAGTGGCATTCTATTCTTTCCCACTTCGTTACACCTCACAGAATGCCATTCATTATCGATGACTATGCATCTAAATCACTGACTAAAATTCATGTAATATCCGGGCCTTCGCTTCAAAACTTCTACGAATCAGCATTAAATCGAATTCGTATGTGGAGATTTCTGCAAAAAGCAAACGTTGGCTGGAGTTGCACTGCAATCTGTGAACCAAAATGCTCCTTACAAAAAACCTTTACTACACCTACAACTCAAAGGGTTTTTCAAGTCGCAAAAACTTTGAATCCCAAAAGATAACTTCGCAAGTGCTCTATATTAGCTTTTCTTTGTCTTTCAGCACTTAAATTTATAACTCTAAGCAGTTGAATGTATGGACTAATCTAGTAAGAAATTTTTCACAGAATTTCTCTAAATAGCTAGCGGCACTTCAGTAATTCTTGCGGACCAAACTCAAAAGTTTAAAATGCCGTCTCTGAGGTTCGGTTCTACGAAATTAGCCAAAGATAGCTTCTAAGCAATTACACTGAAGTACAATTTTTTCAAATTTTAGATTACAAATCATGAATTTGGTTTTGGTTGATAATTTGAAGAATTAACAAACTTTATTTGATTTACATAAATTTTCTGATTGACCTGATATTAAGAAGCATTTGGGTTAGCGAATATTTGGGTGAGTTTAATCTTATTCGTTTTTATAGCGTTTCTATGAGTTTAGAAAGAAACACTTATTTCAGACTTCATAAAAGACATGAAACTTTTTCCACTCGCCTATTACCTTAGCATAGGTTGAGTAACACATTCCCAAAAAATCGCAATCAAAAATATGCAAAAAGGTCAAAAATGGGCTTAGTCCCAGCTCACGTTGCAGCTGGGAGTAAAATGGGCTTTCAAGTCCATTTAAAATGGAGGTAAATCCCATTTTGCCCCACTAAATGGGCTTTTGACGTCATCATTTCGCAAGCGAGAGCTCAAGTAGGGTTAAATCATTTTCATTTCACCGCTTTGCCTCGTGGTTGCGATGGGATGGAAATTTTTGGATAACGCGAGCGAAAGTAGATTCCGACCCTCTTCACCGCGAACGAATAAAATGGGGCTTGAAAGTCCATTTTCCTCCATTATGGACTTTCGTGGATATCATCCCTGAACTTCATATGGTTTACCCTTGAGAGTTGAATTTAGCTTGCAACTCCTTAGGTTACGAGAATGATCGGTTCCCACAATTACATAGAAGCACAATCTTACAGCTTCCTGCTAAGCGGTAAACTTGCAAAGTTCTACTCCTAAGCATAATTTTTTAAGCTCTTGACAGTAAAAAAACTGCCAATATTCGGGCCACTAATTTTCCTCCATCATGAATATGGGAGACGATGACACTAGCAAAAAAAAGAGCAAGTATCCTGAAAGGCAAAACAAGCGCTGCGGAAAAGCCGCACACTCAAATACCGTTAGCTCATTGATCAAAGAAATGCTAGCTCAGGAAGTTTTCGTTTGTAGGCCGCCATTTTGCGCAGATATCATTTTGCATGCGAGTGTAATCCCGACAAGTCCGTGATGTTTGTCGCGCTCCACGTCTATATCTATGACCGGTGGGTAGATGTTGCGCGTTTCGCATACGTCCTTGAATGTTAGCCAGGTTGCGTGTCGATAAGAATTCTTATTCGTCTTGTTGTTTGCTTTGTCCATGTAACATCAACTCCATATATAAATAATTCTGCAAGGCTGCGATTTATTGACTTGTGTCCCGTGTGAATGCCGGCGGCTGGACTAATTAAGCTGAAACTTTGCATGCACATGTTTGCGAGCGCGGCGCAGATCGGACTTCTCTGCGGAGACTCGTTGGGTTCTTCTATCGATGATTTGTTTACGTTCAAGCAAGTGAGAGCGTGTCATGTTCTAAAGAAGCAATTTCCCATTATCATGTAAACGGGGCGTAAAGCTCATTTCAGTCAAAGGAACTAGGATGCGGTGAATCAAATTTCTACAATCAACGTTTTTTGTTATAGTTTGTCTTGTCTCAGTGTAGCTAGACGTTCAACATTATCACTCACTGTAATAACCGTTCGATTGCTTCAGCGTTTTTTATTGCTTTCATCTGAATATGATTGCAGAATGCCGTCTGACGCTGCTGAGAAGAGTACCATCATGAAGCTGGTAACGAACGATGGCGAAACTTTCGATGTTCCCCTGGATGTGATAAAACTTTCTACCACGATCAATACTATGCTGCAAGACCTCGGATTGGACAGCGAATCAAGCGATCCTATCCCGATATGCAACGTATCCGGTCCAATCATGAAGAAGGTGTTAACCTGGTGCACGTTTCACAAAGATGATCCTCCTTGTACGGATGATTCGGATAACAGAGAAAAGCGCACGGACGATATTCCAAGTTGGGACGTAGAGTTTTTGAAAGTTGATCAGGGCACTTTGTTCGAACTTATTCTCGCTGCAAATTACCTTGATATTAAAGGTCTGCTCGACGTTACCTGTAAAACTGTGGCAAACATGATTAAAGGGAAAACTCCTGAAGAGATCCGACGCACTTTTAACATCAAGAACGATTTTACTCCTGAGGAGGAAGAGCAGATCCGCAAGGAGAATGCCTGGTGCGAGGACTGAATACTCAATCTCTGACAGGTCTTGCTTCTTGCATAGAAGCAGTACGATATCGAAGTCCTTGTTCATCACATGCTTGTTGCTGTCCTCCAATGTTATAGACTGGCTTTCGGCTGCAGCTTATCTCTAGTTTGCTCATAACAATAATTCTCTTCTTCATATTCAAAGGCTATTATTCTCTCCCGTTCTCATCTGTCTGTTTTCAGCAGTAGTTTAGTGCATATAATTTCCATTTTCATCTATAATTAGAATTATGTACATAGTTGCTTGATAAAAGTTATGAACGTCTGACTGTTTTGGTATATAGATTGTCACACCCCAAGGGGCTATCGCAGTCAATTCAATGGCGCTTATCTATGATAACCTTCAGATGTCTGACTCCTCGAGCTCAGAAGATGAGGTGCCCTCAAAGGAGACGAGGAAAGGCCTAGTAACCGAGAACCTGACGAAGAGTTTGTTTTCATGAACGCATTTGAAGATTTTAGCATAGTTTTTTCCAGTCTCATCGTCAACTTCAGTTGGCATTGTCGACGGCGAAGACGAAAATGGACAACCGATAACTTTCAAAGAATTGGTAAAGTACATCTTGAGGGTCGGGCGTACATTCGCGATTACATCGCCCCGCAGTTCTCCCAGCAAGACAACTGTTACAATTCGTTGCCTGCTAGTCATCTTGCATTCGCTTATGATCATTTCCAGCGTGTCTAATCGCGACCAAAACGCAAGATGATCGGTGTGCAATGGGATCGTAGCAGATGTCTTATTGAGAGAATTGCGAGGCGATGAAATTTTGTAGTGTATGCCCGGCCCTTTATTGTCTCAAAAAGTAATTCAATGAGAATTTTTTATTGCGCAGGAAAGTAGAGTTTAACTGGATCTCTTCAGAAATGGATCAAAAAATCAGAGGGTCACCAACTTGTGCCAGTCCAATCATAGGCTGCTGCATGACGAAGGCGCAATATCTTTGAGCGCGGAGGCGGTTTCATTAGCCGCAGAGCGCATGAGGCGCAGGATTTACAACGGTGAAGATACCCGCGCGCAGCGTTCGCGCCTGCTCAACCAATACTGCTTCTGCGCCTTCGTCATGCAGCAGCCTTTAGTGGGCATATCTCTGACACTTGGTTGGCTATGTTTATTTGCTCATCAGGGACGTCCAGGTGCAATAGGAGGCTTTGTAATTCGTTAGGCCCTGGGCATAGTTCGCACAATTTCGTCGCCTTTCAATTCTCCCGACAACGCAAATGTTATAGGGCATTAGGGAAATCGCGGCGTTGGCGCCACCGCGCGCGAGCCACGCACTTCCAGCAACCCCTTTTTGGTTTGGTTTCCTCTCTATTTGAATGGTTCTGCCTATGACAATATTCGGACATAGAAGTGACTGAGTTGGCGTTGAGGTGATGCCTTTTTGTATGGGCATCTTATGCTCCTGTGTGCGCAAAGACTGCAGTCAAACCTTTCCTCACGATTTTAACTTGTTGACGACGATATGGACCACCGGTGGCCCACGCACTTTTTGCTGCCACGGACAAGGTGGACCATCGCTGCCCTCTTGCAAAGTCATGTTATAGGGCTAGTATTTTTTCCACATATTGATATTTTTTCCAATTTTTTTTGTACTCTTGTGACCTGTAGGCTCCGCCGTTTAAGGAAATATTTATAGTTATTAACAAAACAACCTTGAATTTCGTAAATAACCACAAAACCTTCTCATACCGATGTCGTGCAAAATCGCGTCGTCCCGCAGCACCGCCACGCAAAATTAGGCGTCGTCGTCAATGGGTTAAGAATGGCCTGTAAAGACTGCCGCATGACAAAGGCGCAATACCTCTGGGCGCGATCGCGGCTTTACAGTGCTGGACATAATGAGACACTCTAGAAATTGTCGTAACTTTCGTTCTTGTCAGTGAATCTGTCTGAAACTTTGCTGTGCGGACGGCGAAAAATGGAATCGAGAAAGCCTGTTTTGCAAGCTGGACATAATTATAAGGACACCTGGCCTTTTTGAACTTATCGCATTCCTTGACTCCCAAATTTTTATTGTAGAGTTACATCCCAGAATATGAAACTTTTGCAGCACCTAGGAGCTGTCATGCTACTCAAGGAAAGATGATCCTTGCATTCTTCGTTTCCAAAGGCATCAGAAGTCAAACTGCGTCAACAAACAGCTGGTTTGAGGAGTTTTCAAGCCCGCGTTCATTTCAAATGACAGTCCTGGAATACACTTAACCTTTTTGATAGATAAGGTGAAGAGCGCTTTCGTAAACTCCGCGTAATCGCTGATATTGACAATCAGACTCCAACCTCATCATAGGGTTGAAACGCTTTTAAACCACAAAACTAACTTTCCAATGTTCGTGAAATGATGGACTCGATTTATTATATTGTCTACATGGAGACGCAGCTTTTGCAACAACTTTCAGACTTTTTCTAGTGCTGTAGTTGGCATTTAGATTTGAAATACTTTCCACGAAAATTCTCTGCGAGCAGTAGATTCAACACAATCACAAATCTCACTATTTCCTTCTCTGTTTCATGTCGCGGTAGGTGAGATTAGTTAAGATTTTGAAGTTTCAAGCGGTCTGCTGTTCGATTTCGTGATTTGAGTTGGATATGATTGTGCAGGGTGCTCCACTCAACTCTCAACGGATGACAACTGCGGCTGAACCAGAATGTGCAACCCCGAAATTTTTTCCTGACTAGGCACACAAGTTTATTGTTGTACGTGTATTGTTGCGGCTACATTGCAGCGTTTTCTGTAATTTGAAAATCGAGTTTTGTGGTGCAAAAGCGCGACAACCCTATGGTGAGGTTGGAGTCTGATTGTCAATATCAGCGATTACGCGGAGTTTACGAGAGCGCTCTTCACCTTATCTATCAAAAAGTAAGTGTATTCCAGGACTGACATTTGAAATGAACGCGGGTTTGAAAACTCCTCAAACCAGCTGTCTGTTGACGCAGTTTGCTTCTGATGCCTTTGGAAACGAAAACTGCAAGGATCGTCTTTCCTTGAGTAGCATGACAGGTCCTAGGTGCTGCAAAAGTTTCATATTCTGGGATGTAACTCTACAAAAAAATTTGGGAGTCATGGAATGCGATAATGTTTAAAAAGGCCAGGTGCCTTTATAATTATGTCCGCTTGCAAAACAGGCTTTTTCGAATTTTTCCATTTTTCTCCGTTCTATATCAGGGGGATTGGAAGCCGTTCTGAGGAGTTATGATAGGCTTACATGCGCACTATACAGCAAAGTTCCAGACAGATTCACTGATAAGAACGAAAATTACGACGATTTCTAGAGTGTCTCTATAATTATGTCCAGCACTGTATTAGCGGCAGAGGCATGAGGCGCAGAATTCACAAGATGAGGATACGTGCGCGCCGCGTTCGCGCCCGCTCAACTAATACTACAGGAACGGCCATAGTGCCGAGGTTGTCGGGGTTGCGGTCGTTGTAGGATCTCATGATAGCCTCCACGTTTCGCGCGCTCTCTAAGCTGACCCGGCAACGCCGGTAACCTCGGCAACCGTCGCCGGCAACCTATGGCCGTTCCATACTTCTGCGCCTCCGGCATGCAACAGCCTTTACGAGTCCATTGGATGCACCCTACTACACTTCGACCGCAATAGTTTTCCGACACGACCAATCGTGACTAATTTTTGCAACCAAAATGCAAAGTGATTGACATGCAAGGGACGATATCCGGTACAGGGCCCGGCACGTTGGTTTGGAGCATTTCTGGTAACGAAGTCCCCTATGAATTCGCTAAGATTTACGAAGTCTCTTTTGACGTAAAAGTCAGTAGGGAAACCCTTGTTCAATCAACATCACAAAACGTATCATAAAAAGCGAAAAAAGCGAGTTTTGAGGTACCTAGTATAACAAAAAAGCAAGAAAAAAACATTCTCGATTCAACTCTTGAGTATGGTACCATTTTAGTGCCCAGAACGTTGAAAACCTCTTAGGCCAACCAAATCTGTGACCTCAACAATCTGGCATTGCATTTTCCGCCACATATTTTAAAGGACACCGTATGCGCTTGGAGCGCGATATCGATCAATGCTTTAGTTTACACTATTTTTGGCTCAAAAAAAGGAGAGAAACAGTGGTTTGATTCGATCTCTTCGCTATATGCTAGATTTTGGAGCGTTCGTTTCGTCCAAATCAAAAAGGTCCAAAACTTATGTGAACGCTCCGATATTTATGCTCCGAACCAACCCAGTTCATTTGGTGTTGGTTTAGAAACCAACAAATTCGGGAACGGGTATTAGGACACATAAGTTTTTGAAACATTTACATAATGTTGTTACATTAATTTTTTACATAATGTTTGGAGTAATCTTATATATAAAGCTGAATGTCTGTCTGTCTGTTTGTATTATGTCTGTACGTATGCGCGGAATAGAAATTTTTATTTCTGAACCGATTCGGACCAAACTTGGCATACATACACTTCGGGGCAGGGAGCGTGTCATAGGCTACTTTTCGTTATCGATCGATGTCGATTTTATTGATTTTTATCGATTTTTTTTGCAGAGTTCACCTACGGGGCTGGGAGTTGGCACAGGGGGGTAAGTGGGCATGCTGATTTCGAATACAACACAGGGAACGGGAAATGAAGTGTAGAAGTGGGTCCAGGGAAGGCTGTACAGGGATAGGGATGGGACCTTTATTACGGTGTTTTGACAGGGCCGAGCGGAGCCGGGTAAGCAAGGTAGTGTATATACATAGCCCAAATTCGGCCTCATGTGATTGTTTGTGCGCTGTAATCAAGCTATCTGTTTGTTTGGGTCTTACGTTTGAAATTCGCGCGCTTGTGAGAGAATGCGTTCAACTCGTAAAACCTGACATGTTTGTCGTTTTTTTTTTCGGAGCTTCGCCCAGGACCTTATAAAAACGATATCCCCGTTGCTCCTAACCTCAAAAACGAAGTTCAGTTTGACCCCGAACCATCTGTGCCGGGCTCTGATCCGGTAACGGAACGGCACTAGAATTACCAAATTCGAATAGAGCGCGATATCTTTCAGCCCCGTCAGGGACAGAGTGACCGTAGATTCACCCTTAGGAGCGGAGCGATTACTTGCGATTGGAGCTGGAATCTTTTTTGAAGCACGTTATCTTTCCTACCCGACTTTGATGGCGTCTTTTAATATCTACCTGCAACTCTACTCTCCGTTGACGGACTTCAACCATGCTAAATATATGACTTTAGTGAGAAACACGCGATATCTCAGCTAAAACTCCTCATTTTCATCTAACATTGGTATGTTCAGAAATTACTGCGGTTATCTCAGTCAGCTGTGTTTTCACTTCATAGATGCTTTTTTCAGTTATGCAAGTGCACTGACAAAGATGTCGCTCTCCTTTATAACTTTACCATGGAGGACTGTTGTTCGGCTCCCATGGATTTGTGTGCATCTCAAGCTTGACTGTCCAATGATGAACACATCAACAATTACAAACAAGTACATATAGGCTGTATCAGCCAGCATCGGTTCCGCGCTAGTATGCCTTGCGAGGACGCACTGTCGCATGCGACGTGCCCTAGCGCGTAACGGAGTCCGCACGCGTGACTTCGCACCGTCGCAAGTTGCCGCAGGTGCGACGTCGCACAACCGATGCTGGTTGGTACAGCCTATACACGAGCGAAATATGCAAACTCTCCTCGTACAGCTGCAGCACCACAACTGACGGGGTGTGAAGAACATGGAAACAGTGTACAACAGTTCAAACTTAGTGCATACAAAGCTAGGAAAAGCATTCTGAACAGGGAGCTAATAGCATACCAATTGCAGAAACTGGAAAACACAGATTTTGCTGAAACTTCGTGTAGAGGGTATTTGACCTGACCACAAATATAATTTTCATTCGCTATGATAGCCCTTATTGTTGTGCGACGGTTGGTATACGCGTAAAGCGCCAAAATCAAGTGTCTGGTTGGAACATGGATGAGGGAGGGGTATCTGAGTTCTCAAGAATATTACACTGAGTCTGCATACGTTCCTATCATGGATTTCTGAAGTCAGAATGGCCTAAAAATCTATAGCTATATGCCATAACTCCACAAAAGCGCATCTCTCCATATAACTACCGAAACCCCACCAAAAGAAATCAACATGCTAAACGGCATGTTATTCGTAATCAGTGTCAAATAACCCCTGTATAAGAAGTTTCAGCAGCATCTGGGGTTTTGACCCCATTCCTGTGTGCATCCCCCAGAACTGCTCCCTTAGGCCTTGGGCAGAGTTCAGCGATTTGTCCGTCGCTACGGACAAATGTCACGAGTCCATTGCATGCCGATCTTCTTGCATTTTGGTTGTGATAGTTTTCCAACACGACTAATCGTGACTAGCTGTCACAACCTAAATACAAGAAGATCGGCATGCAATGAATTCGTAACACTTGTCTTGTAGCGATGGATCGCGACGATCATATCGCGTGAACTCTGTCCGAGGCCTCATGAACCATCAACATGGCTGTCTTTCGATCATTTGAAAGGCACCGTCCACCCAGATTTTCGACTTCCACGTTTTTGTCGTTTCAGGGCCTTCTCATGTCCCTGATTCTGAATATGAAGTGGAGAATGCGCAAAAACCTCGACAATCCCCGTTCCAGACAACCCAGAGGCCAGCTTTCCGGAACGGTGATTGGATGAGCGCGCACAAGTGGGCGGGCATGGATGGGGGAGGGCGGGCATGGATGGGGGTCCTCGTGCATCTTCGCTGTTCCGAAGCGATTTCCTCGCTTCCGAAGCGGCATTTTGCGCCGCGACTTGGGCAGTGGATTGATAGAGGGTCCTACTATTATATGCTGCCAAAAGCTCAACACCCTTAACTTAGGGTGGACGGTGCCTCTGAAAAGTCAGCTTCGAATAAGCGCATTGAATTTGCTGCAGTTAACATGTCAAAACGATCGAAAGGGACCACGTGATGGTTCTATGGGAACAGTTCCGGGGAATGCGCGATGTAACCACACTATGAGGGATTACCGCAACGAGTGAATATCATAGTTATCAACATGCTAGATAAAGCCCATGTATGAAGTTTTAGGAAGTCTGAAACAGTTTTTGGGATCATTATATTGGAATAGAATAGACGATTCATTGCACGCAGAAAAACCGCTCGCTGCGTCTCTCTAAGCAAGCGCTTTCAAAAACCTTTTAAACAAGCTCGGAGGTCACTAAGCGCTTTGACTCCCCCATGCCATAAACAACAAGAGTAAAACGAATTGCAAATATAGGGCATCTGAAAAATTGTGACAATTTCGCGACCGCGCGACACGCACGTCACTTCCGGAAATCGCATTTTCTTGTTTTTCATCTTTAGTCGAATGGCTTACGTATGGTAATATTCGGACACTGGAAGTGACTGAGTGAATGATGGTTGCTGCCTTCATGTATGAGCGTTTTATATTTCTGTGGGCTCAAAGTTCGCAGTAAAATTCGTCGTCACTATTTTATAAATGAACCATACCATGCTTGCTTGCTGCAGTAACGCCTTATTGTGGAGTTGCGGTGATTTGCAGCGTGTGAAAAGACATGACGCACTTTGGCCATCCGGCCACCAAAACTTTTGTCTTGGACTTGGCTCAAACTTTGTCCAGGAAATTATCCTCATACTCACGAATATCACAATTTTTCGGCACGAGAGCGCCTTCACGTATTACGGTAGGTCTATTGTAGGGGGTCAAAGTCATAGTCTTGGAATTTGGATTAGAGGCGTTATCCGACATGCTTATCACGAAGATCATACTCTTTTCGCAAGCTCGTACCTTTTCATGGAGTTTACGGTAGATATGCGGTATGGTGACAAAATCACGGATTTGCCCTAGATTTTGTGGTGTTATTTGGCACGCTAAGCATGAATATATATATACATATATATATATATATTTGATTTCTTGAGATAGTGCTATTTTCTTCTTGCAACTTTTGAACAAACCCCTTTATGTTTCAGGCAGTTTAGACTTCAAAAACACAAGAGACCTATCATGCAAATGACTGTGATATTCCTAAGCAGCATCTGGCATGCTCCTCTAAAGAAGGTTTGACTATTTTGAAATCTTAGATCATCTACTACATCCACCGCACCCCGAATTGCGCTAGTTAACGCATAGGTGATGCACTAGATGATGATGTCTAGATGACTAGATGATGCACATGCACCTGCCGTAACACATGGGGAGTTTTCGTGAGGAGAAAGTGTGATATCTGTGCTTAGCATGTCAAATAATTCCCCCTTATTTTGGAGCCCAGATACTGGAATAACGCCACTATAAGGATGAATAGAGCTGGAACGCACTGAAAGCGTAGAAGACTGTGACAATATTTGGGCGAAAAGAGAAGAACCTGCACTAAGCTGAGTGAAATCATGGCAAGAATTTGAAGTCCCGATAGCAATAGCGGCATGTCATACGCTGCAAATCCCCCCCCCCCCCCTAGAGCCAAATTCCAGGCAGATCTGAAAGACGCGCTAACGCGCTATCCTGGTAGATTAGTAGGTATCGTGCTCTATTTGGAATGCGGCAGTAATGCGTTAAGAATTTATATAGTGCCGTTGCGTTACTAGATATCGTAGGCGACTCGTAACACTTGTTTTGTCGTGGGAATCGCGAGGCGATGAATTATTCCCGAGGTCTTACGGGGAATTTGCCTGCAGTCTATGCGCGCATGATAGGAAGGCTAAATTGGGCAGTGGCTGTGCGACTCTCTTCCATATTCCTATCTTATATACAAAGCTGAATGTCTGTTTGTCTGTCTTTGTGTCTGTACGTGTTCCGAATAGAAAATTCCATTTCTGAACCGATCCGGACCAAACTTGGCATACATACATTTCGGGCCCCGGCGGGTGTCATAAGCTACTTTTCGTCATCGATCGGTATCGATTTTATCGATTTTTTGCAAAGTTTGAGCTACGGGGCTGGGAGTTGGCACAGGGGGGTAATCGAGCATGCTGATTACGAATATAATAATGACAGGGCCGGACGGAGACGGGTAAGTCAACTAGTACAATATATGGGTGGAGGACTACTGCCGCCGAATGTTGGAGGGTCTCGCGCGGACTTCTTGCAAAGACGCACCTCTGTGCTTGGCAAAGGTGTATTTGTTGCCCGCTGGGCCACCCTTTTTCGGCGACATATAGTCCCCTACCCCTTTCGTATCACGCTTTCGAGTTTGGGCTGGTGAGGAATACCATATGATCTAATTCTCCCGAACACTGCCTATCCAAGGGGTTCTGCTGAGGATAGAACGAGTCCAAGCTGCCACTTTGTACGGATAATTTGCCGCGTCTTTCGAAAGGACTTTTGCGCTCGTAGTCAAATGTTCAATTCTCACATCTGTCTTTGAATTCTAATTACTTTTGAATAGCTTTCTGAGCTGTGCAACATTGATCTCCATTTGGCTTCGAGTATTTTAAGAGTCTGTTGAAGTACGGTCAAGTACGGATATCTTTCTACCATGTTATTATGTTTACAGGGGGTATGTGAACCGCTGTGTGAGGCATGCGATCGACTCGATTGGAAAGTTCCAACGAAAATCCAAAGTGCTGCTCTCATCCATGCACTGAAAGGACGAGATGTAATTGGTCTAGCTGAGACAGGGTACGCTTTAGTGCAAGGTTTCACTTCCTTTGTTGATTTTCATATAATCCCAACACCATAAGCATTATTACATAGAGCATTTCACATTAGCTTGTTTTGAGTACTCGCCTTCATACTACGCCGCAGCACACCGCGTCCTGCGGCGTGCGCCGCTGCACTCGCAGTGAAAATTAGCTTGCTCGATGTGAAGGAACACTTTCGGAGAACACGAACGCACGGCAGATCTAGAAACACATCCATAACCGGCGAAGCTGTGCTGCGAACGTATATTTTCATCGCAAATGCAGCGGCGCACGCCACAGGACGCGGCGTGTTGCGGAAGGCTGCTGCGTCCTGCGGGTAGAATCCTTTGGCGTAAAATTTCTAACTGCAGAGGCATTTGTCATGTATCTCTTTTATATGTTTTGCCTGTATCAATTTTTAGATCCGGAAAGACTGCCGCTTTTGCAATACCAATCCTGCAATCCTTACTTGAAGCTCCACAAAAGCTTTTTGCACTTGTTCTCACACCTACAAGAGAGTTAGCATTTCAAATTGCCCAGCAGTTTGAGGCATTGGGCGCTGGAATTGGCTTGATCGTGGGTGAGTTGACTTTATATCTATCTAGGATTCACGGCGCAACCCATCGTTTCGCGTGGGTCCTCGCGCGAAAGTGATGGGTTGCGCCATGAATCCATGCGAAATACGATCATGGGGTCCAGTTTGGAGGCGTATATCTCAGCCGTTAGTGAGTCACTTGCACTGGTGCTTGGGGAGTGCCTTATTAGGGCCCCAAAATTACTTTCCACGTCAAATCCCCATAGGTCCAGATTTGCCTGGACGCTGCTTTTAGAAGAGGATTTTTTGCGTGTGTCGCAAAAAGATTGTCAGGACATCACGCTGCTGGTCATGCGCCCTCTCAAGACAACCATTGACTAAATCTGAACTTTTAGGAAGGTGAATCTTGCATTGCTTGCTGTTATCGTCATGATTCCAGCAAATGATGGTTGAGCACGGAATATTGTTCTTTAAAAAAAATGAATTTCACTAATTGTTCATAATCTAAATATGGGGGTGATTGCAATGTTTTCTCAGTTTTGACCGGTAAGCCAATGACTTTCGAGTAAAAAGCAGTGCTCAATTCGCACTTACAGTCTGCCTCAATCGAGATCAGGCCGAACCGTCGGCTGATTTTGCACTCTCGCAGCGTTAGGGGTTTGCGCTGCATACGCGCGCTGTCGCAGAGAGCGAAGAGATTGAGGAGAGAGCAGACTAGATAGACCGCAGACGTGACGCAATACCCTCGCGATACGGACTCCCGCCATGTCAGTTTTGGCCTGGTTGGAGACAGATTTTTAAGACATAGTTTGTGCAATGGCTCCATCTTCGTCGTTTTGTACGTTATGGTCGTGATAGAAGCTTCGCGTCACCGATCTGTTCCAGTGCTGCATTCAAAATGACACAATCACACAAGCTATGCAGGGCTTCATACGTTATTAGTACTTAACGGATGAATCGCTTTGAACTAACAGGTCGCTAAGTAATGGCGTCGTTTGTTGTAAAAAAATTTTTGTGGGGCGTGACTGTCACTACGTCTCCTCTCCTCTAAATATCAAGATTGTAGGCTTGCCAAAAATCTGGGGAATAAACCAAAGGTTTTACGGAAGCATCTCCATTTCCAAGAACGCCCCACCCCTCCCGTTTCCCGCGGCCACATTTGTTGGGACCGCCAAAGCCCACTTGTTAGAGTTTATTCGAGAAATGAAATTCATATAGTTTGTTCCATTCCGGATCAGGCCAAATTTGGAGTGTTGCGGCATCTCAAGGTCTTCGTCTGCTTTCTCCTTATTCTCGTTAATCTCTCCGACGCATATACGCATATGCAGCGCAACCGTAGTGCTGGGAGCTCGCAACGCGCAGTACAGTCTACCCCAATCGGGATCAGGCCGGAACCGTCGGCTGAATTTCGAGCTCGCAGTGATAGGGGGTAGAGAGTGAAGAAAATGAGGAGAGAGAGCAGAATAGCTAGCCGTAGACGTAACGCAACATTCTCGCGGCACGGACTCGCGCCATGCCGATTTTGGTCTGGTTGGGTTGGGACAGACTGTATTGCGCTCTTACAATTGGGACATACTTTAGTCAATAAGGTCTCTTGTAAGGAACAAAAAATTGTCATTACATTTCTTTTCGTCATTCCAGCGGTCATTGTTGGCGGTGTGGATATGACAACACAGGCGCTTGCTTTAGCGAAGCGGCCACATATAATTGTTGGTTAGTTACTTGCTGAGTTGTAAATGCCTATGTTTTACATCTCACATTCAGCAACACCAGGCCGATTGGTCGATCATCTAGAAAACACCAAAGGCTTCAATCTTCGTGCATTGAAATATCTGGTCATGGACGAAGCTGATAGGATCCTGAATATGGACTTCGAAGTCGGTAATGTTGTTTTCGTTTTCCATATAAAAAGATCGTTAGTTTGGATTGGTTTTCTTTTTGAAAAGAATAGAATGAGTGTCGTTTGCCACATCATCAGCCAGTTTCGTATATAAGGCTTACATGTCTTTTACAGGAGATATCTATAATGAGCAAGAAGTGAGCCTAATGAAAGTCTTTTGCTAGGTCGAACTGGATAAGATTTTGCGAGTGATACCGAAACAGCGTCGAACATACCTATTTTCCGCCACTATGACCAAAAAGGTTGGTTTTTTTCTTGCGGTTATGTTATGCAACTTTGTTGTCCTGAATAGTCCTATGCCTTAAAGACGCTGTCCACTCTAAGTTAGGGGTCTTGAGCTTTTGGCAGCTTAGGATAGTGGGACCCCCTTCAAGCTAGTGCCTAATTAGCGGTGCCAAATGTCGCTTAGGAAGTGGGAAAATCGTGTGGGAATACCGAAGAAGCATGAAGATCCCAAGTCGGCAACGCGTCCTCCAGTAATGCCCGCCCATCCGTGGGCGTCCATCTTTTCACCGATTCGGAGAACTGGCCGCCATGTTCTTCGGAACAGGGTTTTCGCGGATTCTCGACGTCATATTTGAAATCAGGGACGCGAGAAGCCCCGGAACGATCAAAACATGGCGATCTGGGTGGACGGTGCCTCTAAAGCCACCGTCCACCCAAAATGGGGTCGATGAGATTTTGATGCCTGACAGTAGTGGAACCCCCAACTGTATACTTATCCAACTCGCGCTGGCAAAAGTTGCTTCCGAAACGAAAACATTGCTTCGAAAATTGTTTGGATGACAGACTCGTCACGTTGGCTCCTCCCCTTTGAATGGGCGTGACGTTCGCCCCCCCCCCCCACCCGTGCGCGCCCAACTAATCACCGTTCCGAAGAAACGCTCTTCGGATTCTGAAAACAGGGGTTTTTCGTGGTTTTCGCGGATTTCCAACTTGATATTTGGAATTAAGGGTATGTGAAGGCTCTGCACGGCAAAAACATGGAGGTCGAAATTTTGGGCGGACGGTGCCTTAGTACATTTCGGACCTCGAAATCGCACGCGGCGAAACAGTGTTCTTTCAACCGTTAGGCAACAAATGGACCTTATTTCGTAGACTGTGCTATACTTGTGATCAGCATGACATATAAGCTCCATATTCAAAGTTCTGAGTGGATTTAAAGTGTTTGAATTTTGTCGCTTGAGAAGGACTTCTGTGTTTTCTTGAAGGGGAGAAAGAACTCAGTTTCTGATATATCCAAATGTATGTATGTTGCACATGGCACACATCAACATTGAGACTACAGTTTTTTCTTTTTGGAATTGAAGCGCAGAAAAGTGGCGACGTCGATATCTCCTAAACAAAGATCGGCAGCGCATCTCCACCAAGTCATTTGAAAAGTAGGAGTTTAGGCCTTTGACATGGTTGACCTTTGACATTACCTTCTCAGGGACTCGCCCGTGCGGGCGGCCAGCGACGACCTTACAAACGCTCGTTGGTGTGTGCTATTGTACGGTCGTCAAGGCCGGTGGTGCGGTTAATGCGGGGCGCCCGCACGGTTTCTAATGCTCGCCGCTTGCTCGGGGAAGGTCGGCCTCTCGCTTGCTGTTGGGGTAATTTATATGAGATACCTTGACCAATGGATATGTTAATCCTGTACATTCTGGGAACCTGGAGCGGTGCCTGCAGTACAAGGTCAAGCGTGTTGATGCGATCCTAGGCCCTCTTCTACCCCCCCCCCCCTGAAGGTACCTATCCGTACGACCCTCCTCCTCACCTACCTCCCCCCACCCTCCCACCTACCCCACTCCCCCTCCCACCTACCCCTCCCACTTTCTTTTGCGGTAACCTGCATAAATGAATGTCAATCTCAAAAGGTGCCTGCCAATGGACCTCAATAATTATAGATCACAAATAGATAACTACTTACAAACTGGGAAATAATGCAAGTAATGCTTTGCCATTCAAAAACCAACTAACAAATAATTCTGCGTGTATTGGGTAAGCAGTAAAATTCCACGAAGATTTGGCTTTGTTTGTTGTGCTTGGGAAAATATGAATGGAAAGGACATTATCTAACAAAGCAGAACATCGTTTCCAATCTGAATGATATATAAGCTTTACTTTAAGATTCACAGGTTATTGACGGTCGCCGTTGGTAAAAATATGGGATTTTGTCGAGTGTGTGAGATTCAGTGGGGCTTCGGAAGCAGAATTTCTGAGCCAAGGGGTACGTGCAACATCTCTGGCACGCATGCACACCTTCAATAACGTTCGGGTTTCTGCAATTTTTTTAAAATTCTCAAGCATATTTCTGGCCAGCAAATTCGGTCCCCGTACGCGACATTATTTTTTGAAGGGAGGAAAAACGATATGTTTGAAGCTTAAAATATGTTTTCGGCTAAAAGGCTTACTTCCTACCTTTTGCACAGATTTTCATGCGAAAACTGTTTTAGCGCCATCCAGAACGATGTCAAAAACGTGCATGAGCACAGTATTTTGAAAATTCGTGACTAAAGACAGAGAAAGACTGAGAGGCTGCAATGAACAGGCTTTGTAGTATAGTGCCCATACTATCCATGCAAAAAGTTTTAGCTATCAAGGAGCAGTAAGCTCGAAAAAATCTAGATGCGACTCTCGTAAATTTAGGTGCGATCCTAAGAAGCAAAAAGTGGAATTTTTGAGCTTGAAATTGTGTATCTCACGGTGAAACAGCCTGAAATTCTTACGATAAAAAGTAGAGGGATGGCCTCGTATTACAGCAAGTTTGCAGCTAACAAGCTTCAATAGCTCCGGAGAAATTTGGATGAGGCGCAGATACGACCCCCCCCCCTTTTTCTCATTTTTTGCTACATACATAAAATCATAAGAAAATCCACAGTTGACAGAATAACACCAAATTTTGCACTGATATAGCAGAGCATCTCCAAAGTACAGATAAATCATGTGGACCCGTGAAAAACATCACAAAAAGATTTAGAAGTTCGTGATGGTCACAGCTGGTAAAGATATTCGCTTTTGTCGAGTGTGTGAGGCTTCAGGAAGGCTTCAGAAGCAAGATTTCTAGGGCAATCGGTACATTTAGCATTTTTATCAAATCATACATCCTTCAAAAGTGTTTTGAGCTCTTGTAAATGTTTTTTTTTGCGAATTTCTACAGATTTTTTATCTTTTTTATTCTGATTTCCACCTTTTTATAAATTCATTGTAAAGAACATAACTAATTATCTGCTTTTTGATTCTCTTTCAAGCTTAGGGTATTTTAGGCTAACTACCCCCTCTTACAACTCTCTCCCCCCCCCCCCCCCCCACCTTAGGTACCCTCTTTACGACCATCCGTTGCGACAGTCGCATCACAAGCTTGACCCTGCTGCAGTATTGGCCAATCCTTTCATAGCAAAGCCTACACCATCACTCTTGATAAGTGTAAGCTAACACAGCTTCATTCAAGCCTCGCTGGTGAAGGGAGATGTTGATAATACAACTTGTCAACGCTTAGGGCAGCCTAAACGCTGCGTCGTATCTGATGCAGGTAGCATTTACGCTCACACTGTGTGAAATCTTTAAGAAGATATAGGTCATTGTTGGCCGCTTGCACGGCAACGGGTATTGCCGGCCGATAAGACGGACACATTGCTGGCCGCTGCTCGAGCAAATGCGTGCCGGCCGTTTGTACGGTTAGATTGCCTGCCGCTTGGACGGAACTTTAGCTGTCTGCCGCACGCACGGAAGCTTCAGACTTTTGTCGACCGCTTGTACGCTGGCAGCCCGTAGCAGCCTGCAGCAGCCGCCAGCAGCCCGTAGCAGCCGCCAGCAGCCCGCAGCAGCCGCCAGCAGCCCGTAGCAGCCCGTAGCCGCCGCTGGCCGCTTTTGTCATACAAGCGCAAAATCATCAAATTCTTACTATTTCAAGTGCAACCCCTACGCCCTCCATCCTCCACGCTTAATCCTTCCTGTTGCCGCAGTTTGATCTCATATATCAGCATACTTTATCCGTTGTTGTTATTATCTTGTTACCGTAGATTGGTTATCCTATCGATGCTCAGTTTCCCTCTCGCAATTGAACCATATTTCGCCAAAGTTTCTTTGCAGTGTGATTTCTTCTGACTTTGGATGCGTCCAGTTCCTGCAGGTTGCTATTTGTTAATTTTTTAGGTATGTTTTGCTTCAGTCATATCACATCGGCGTGGAAGATGGAAAGTATGGGCAGACGCAGGCAAAGGACTAGGAATTTAATGACTTGCGCTTCTATGACAAAGGCGGCCAGCGGCGGCTACGGGCTGCTGGCGGCTGCTGCGGGCTGCTACGGGCTGCTGGCGGCTGCTACGGGCTGCTGGCGGCTGCTACGGGCTGCTGGCGGCTGCTGCGGGCTGCTACGGGCTGCCAGCGGCTGCTGCCGGCGCGGTATGAAGGCACCCAAACGTGTTAACGCTCCCGCCACTGAGGGGAGTGCAGTTCAAAAGCTCATATGCTGGTGTTCCAGAAGTCTGAACTTTGCATTGCCTATCGATCCTCGTGTATTCTATTCAGTGGAAATCTCATTTGTTTCAGTCACAAACATGCTAAGTCATTAGTGTTGAATTTTATAGTCAGCACAACTTGGGATACTTTCATCAGAAATATAGAAAAATGAAATTCGATAGATAGAACCGTATCCTGGGAATCATCAGAAGATCATATAAAAAGCTGAAAATGCAGTTTACGATGTATAGTCCCCTCCACAGATCGTGCTACCCTTGATATGCGTCTCAGACCTGTGCCACGTGTGGCTAACATGTTGACAACGTTGGCAGCAACACTTTGGCAACATGCAGCAACATGTTTCCGTGGCCAAAATGTTCTGCCAACATGTTGGGGCATGTTGGAAACATGTTGTTGCCACGTTGCCACATGTTAGCCATACGTGGCAGGTCTGAGACGCAGACCAAGGGTAGCAGCAACTGTGGAGGGGGGCGATACGTTGTTGTTCATCATGTTCAGAGTAAAGGATAGAAAGAACACTTGAGTTCGTGAGATGCGGATCCAGGTCTCAATCACCAGTGCACAACTTACTTACTTAGATACTTAGATGGCCCGTCCTCACGTGACGTGCGGGCCCCAGTACAGAAGTTGCCATTTTTCCCTGTCCCTCGCTTCAGACATCCACGATCTTCTTGGCCGTCGGGTGGCTGCGTCCACGAGTTCCAGGGGCGAAAGTCGTATCCAGCTGATTTCTCAGCTGGTCCATCCGTTTCACGAACACGTCTGCCCATCTCGTCGGTGGTCTTCCTCGAGGACGTTTGGCTTCGCGAGGAATCCACTCAGATGTTCTTGAACATCTGATGATGAAGAAGAACATCTGAGGAGGACCAGTGCACAAAGCTCTTTCTAAGTTGCTTTCTCTAAAGGGATGCTAATGCGGCCTACACAGACTTCTAGCCACAATTAATTTTCTGCAATTAAAGGTAGCGAAACTCGAAAGAGCCTCACTGAAGGATCCTGCTCGTGTTGAAGTCTCCACTAAATACAAGACTGTGGATAAACTAGTACAGCACTATCTTTTCATACCACACAAATACAAGGCCAGAGAAACTCTTTATCTATCTTCTTCTTCTTCTTCATGAACCTCTGCTGTTCTAGGAAGCATACTTGGTTTACCTTCTCAATGAACTTGCTGGAAATACCGCTATTGTGTTCTGTGCTACTTGCAATAGCGCTATGCATGTGGGTTGAGCACACTGTTCTTTCATTACTTTATGAGCTGCAGCTTTTTTAGACTGCCATGCTGTTGAGGCAATTAGGGATGCAAGCCATACCTTTGCATGGTCAGATGGGGCAGGTCTCTCACTTTCAATATTGCTCTCTTCAGCATCATCACCATGCAATTTTTTCAGGAGAAACGATTAGGTGCTCTGAATAAGTTCAAGAGCAGAATGAAGGATATATTAGTTTGCACCGATGTTGCTTCTAGAGTTAAGTGCTGGCGTTTTTGGCTTTGCTATTAGCGTCGTATGTAAGAATTTTTGCGCGCTATCAAAAGTATGGCGTTATTGTTTTACAATCGTTCCTGCTTGTATTTTCCCAATTCCAACTATCTCTCTTTCAGGACTCGACATCCCACATGTTGATCTGGTTGTTAATTATGATATCCCATCCCAGTCGAAGGATTATGTCCACAGGGTGCGCTGACCTTTTCTCTTTGGAGATTTCAAGCTTAACATCATAGTTGAAATCGAATGTACAGGTGACTCATAGCCCTCAAAGACTGCGAAAGTGTTAATTTCTCTCTGAACGAGCGCTCGCTCTTTTGTTTCTTCACTTACTGTCTCTTCCATGCACCAACGGCGCGCACTCTTTGCGCATCATGAATCGTGTATAATCATTCGATCGCATAAAACTCACGTATCTTGATTATTCGAGGACGAATACAGATTTCGATCATTCGATCAATCTTCACTTTCGAACTTATGACCCTAATTTCCGGGGTATAAAGCGCACCTTGTATAAGGCGCACCCGCCGCAGCGAACAATGGCGCGAAAACGCTTTTTATATGATTGCTCTCTAAATCTAAAAAGCTAAAAACTCAGTGCTCTGTGGTTATTCTTCACTGCTCATAAATCTTGCCTCCAGGTATTTTTTTCCTTTTCTCGAAATGTATACTTCAATATCATTTCTACAGGTGGGAGGAAAGTGCTCAATGGTTTTATGGTATTTAGATGTTCTTTCTTTTGTTTCCATTGATGTTACTGGTACTGGTGCTCATTTGCGCTTTTCTTCGTTTCCAATAATGCTACTGGTACTGAAACTGTGCTATCCTGCACAATGATACCAGTGATATTTCAGAGGTTTTTGTCCTATTTTTGTCATTCTTGAAGAATCAAAGAGAAGGTAGAGATGTTTTAAAACAAATCACTACTGAGAGGAAAACAGCAAAGAACGGAAGCAAAAAGCTAGTGGCGGGTGAAAAAAATTGCTGTTGGCTGCTTGTGCGGCGCCGCGCAACGTCATCGTACGTCAGTCCGCGCGCGGTAAAAGCTACTGCGCCTTATACCCCGGAAATTAGGGTAATTCGAATCCTAATTTCTCACAGATATTACATTATTTGAATATCCAAGTTCCCTAGTCGGTATCACAGGTATTTGAATATGCTGTATTTATAAGAAATTAAACAGTTTACGGTTATAACCTGATTACTTTCAGGTAGGGCGGACTGCTCGTGCAGGAAGAGCGGGTCTTGCTGTAACTTTTGTTACTCAGTATGATGTCGAAGTTTACCAGAAAATAGAAGCACACATAGGTGTGTGCGCCGTGGACAGTCGAACTTCATCTTCGAAGTCTTTAATAATCTAGGTAAAATTCAGGTAAAAAGCTGGCAGAGTACCCATGCGTTGAAAAAGATGTTATGTTGTTATTGGAGAGAACCCAAGAGGCTAGCGAAATGGCTGATAAGGAACTGAAGGAGATTACAGATAAAAAGAAAAGGAAAGGGAAGCGGTGAATTCTTCCATCATTTTTTGCAGTTAGTACGTGGTAGTTCTTCTCAACCTCAACGTATTGCAGGGACAGGGGTCATATTGATGACTCCGAAGAGTTACCTACGAAGTTCAAGAAAACGCTAAAGAAAGGAAAGATCCTTAAAGTGAATATACGGAAAGGACCGAAGTTCCGGTAGAATTCGAATTGTCTTGTCATTTTTGTTGTCGTTCATGGTCACGTACCTAGCGAACGCCACTTCATTGTCTGTTGAATAAGTTTGTTGTCTTGGTGCATGAAGATGCAGAGGCTCAGTCGTCAAATGTCATTGATGTGCTCGTGTAAAAATCATCGTCAACATGTTCTACCTAAGTCGACCAAAAAGGCCAGCATGTTATCTTAAAGGCAGTGGGTCGGCAGAATCGAACATCTCGAGATTATAGGTTGCTTACACCCCAAACATGAGAACGGAGCAGGTCCGAGCGCACATCATGCAACCCCTGCTTAGAAAATTGCCCCCAAACCCATGCGCGTAAGCCATTCTTACACGTGTTCGGACGAACTCACGATATCTTCACCCATTCAGAGGCGGCATGCTGCAATACTATAAACATAGGGTCCCACAACGACTCTATGTCTCTAACCATGGCGGGGAGCGTTCCACTCGTTCAAATTCAAAATGAGGGGCTTGGGAAATGTTGGTTATCGCCATTTTCGCGCTCTAGAAAGTGGATTTCCGGAATTAGCGCGTCGAATTATCCCAGGTAAGCGAAAAAACCAAGGATCAAAGGCCGAGCCACTGCCTCTAATATGCAGTGCAGCACCTGACCTTACAGCAAAGATGCAGTAGAAATCATATAACAAGCCTGTATTGAATAATTCTCCATTCGACGATTCAGAAAAATGAGTCATTCGAATATTCGTTCATTCGAGGAGTTTCAAGAGAAAGTTACTCGAATATCGAGATAAAAGACAGTTATTCGAATATTCGAATATCAAAGGTCCATTCGAACATTCGATCAAAAGAAAAATTCAGTTGTTCTGCATTGAGTGCAGGTATTTCCCGATCGGTCCATCATCTAATGAAAGATCATATGACAGAATGGCCAGCAAGGTTCCCTTTCTGACGCATTCGCGAGTCATGCCAGAGGATATTGATGACAAATCTTATGCACAATTCATTTGGAGTGGTGAACTATCTTCTGCAAATCGCGCTGCAATAGTTGAGATGCGATATCATGCGCATATACCTCCAAACTCTAAATTGTGTGAGGAAGCAAAGCCGTTATCAGGCGCCACTTTAGCGGACCACTGGTCTTCAAACAGCTTGCATAAGCAGGAGAAGGACCAGCAGTCATTTAATGCAGCATGTATTGGCAACATTCGTTCCTTCATTCAGAGATCTCCACTTGCCTTGCCAGCCTAATCAAATTGTTAAAATATTTGAAAGATACGTTAACCAGCGCAAGGCCAGAGCAAGACGGTCGCGAGGACGTGAGCCGCTTGATTTGTGGCGGCAACCTTTATTTCAGTCACCATACTCAAATCGTCTCCTCTATAGTCAGGAAGCGTAAAAAAGTTCTTGTTAGAATGTTGCAAAGTTCATACGGGGATGACTTTGAGTAGGCGTGTAGGTTGAACAATAATGATTTTGAACCTGAGTAAAAGATGTGGAAGATCCCTTACAACAAAAACACCACTTTCAGAAGTACGGCTGAAAACTGGGAGGCCTGCAAGTGTTACCCAAGCAGCCGCCTGTTGCCGCATTCAGCCGCCAAAGCTGGCACCTACGCCGCGGCTGAGCTACCGTAAGCGCGCTCTCGTCGTTCCTTAACCTCTTGCAGAGATTTGCAACAGCCTCGCACCTCATCGCTGAGGTGCGAGAATTCCCTCAGAGGTCGCGCTACTGCCACATATTATATATCTATTAAGATAGCAGAAAATTTGTAGTTTAGTGAGATACAATACAAAAATATACTGAAACAAAAAAAGTTTAAAAAAATAAACTGATGGAATAATTGAAAGTTAAATCAAAAGCATAAAATTATGGAATGAATTTTGTTCGTTTGCTAGATAATACCTCGTTTCTTTTTTCAATCTCAAAATTAGTGAACTCTCGATTTTTAGAGCTGCATCCTCGCAAATCACTAGGGTAGAAATGAACAGTATTCCTGAAGAGTTAAGGATTTTACCAGATGGGGAGGTTTCTTTACAAACCAATTGCCAAATATTCATATCTACTACTCCGATGTAATTATTTAATTATTGCGGTAAATATCCACATAATTATTTTTGCATCTATTGAATTTTTGAAGAATTAAGACTGTCGTTGAAATCGAACTAAAAGCGCTGCGGGGAGGGCGTCCACAAGTTAAATCCCGTAACGATTTTAGCAGGGATAGAAAAAGGACAATTATACACCGTCCACGCATTGTATGGCGGAGGTTTTGAATTTCGTGAAAAATTTCAAAATGAATAAAGGAAAATTGAAAAAAAAATTTCAGGTTTCAATTCTATTCGCCACGACACAAAAGAAAAATCGCGCACTTACAAGCTTATTTTTGACTGCTAAAAAGAAATTAGGAAATGGAAATCTTGGAGTAATTGTAGATTATGAGTATATCTTACTAATAAACTACAAGTTTTCTGCTGTCTTGATTGATATATAATATGTGGCAGTAGCGCGGCCTCTGAGGGAATTCTCGCACCTCAGCGCGATGAGGTGCAAGGCTGCTGCGAAAATCTCTCTGCGAGAGGTTGCGGACGACGAGAGGCGCGCTTACGGTATTAGCCGCGGCGTTGGTGCCAGCTCTGGCGGCTGGCTGACCAGGCGGCTGCCTGGGTAACACTTGCTACGCACCCCTGAAAACTTTGTGAAAATTCAGTTGTGGAACAGAAACTCTGAAACTCAGCGATTGGTGATTTACGACAAGTATTAGATTAGCAGCTGATATTCAGATATTTTCATGACGCTGATATCCAGATATTTTCATTAGTTTTTTTTCTGGATTTAGATGCGCACCCTTTCTCGTGCTTTCCCAGTGCTGGTCCTAGAACTCACGCAATGCTGACGATCACGAATAAATTACAAGTAATTACCTAGTCCAAAAAGTTGAATCTGTAGTTTTGAGAGAAAGTTCGGTGTAGCTTTGGGAGAAACTTCTTTGAGAAAGAATAAAGTGCATTAGAAATGGTTACCAAGTGAGGCTTAGTAGACGTCTTAAAGGACAAGAAACACCTTGAACACCTTGAACTACATGTTTGAGTAAAATTTTCTCTTTCCTAGGTAGGGAAAGGGGGTGGTGCAGGAGGAACCAAAGGGCTGCCGCCTGTATCCACAGGAGATGATTAAGAGCGCTAGCGCTGTGGAGAATATTTTGGCAAGGATCCAAGAAAACTTGGCAAGGACATTTTTAGGAACAAATCTTCATAATTTTGCCTGGAGAGGACTTTGAAAAACCTTGAAAAACAGATCTGTAATGCAAATTGACTATGCCTAAAAATAAGTGAAAATTTGGAATTGTACTAAGAAAAGTCACCTTCCTTAGAGAAACTTGTTTTATGGATTCTGAAGTTTTAGTTTGTTGAAGGCCGGGATTTTCATCCAAAATTCATTCTTTTTTCTTTGAGAACAGTTTGCCTTTTGGAATCAATGAGCCAAAGCAATCAAAATGCCATAAAAACACATTTGGAGGTTTAAGTGATGATGCAATACGCAGTTTGTTTCATAACTTCAATCTATTCGAATTCTAAATTTTGACACCAGATCTTAGGATTTGCCATTTAAACTATGTCGGTGATCCTTTCGAGGTTGTACACAATAAAAATTCATCACATGCAACTTTAACACTATTTCCTGATTACCACTCCTCACTTTGGACGTCGAATCCAGAAACTACTAAATTCGCTTAAAATCACACAACATTGAACTTGAAATTCCTCAGCTTTTAACTGTGAATTTTGAAGGCTCAGTTTTTGGTAAAATGGAACTAGTGTAACGAGGCAGAGTTGTTGGTCTATCTGGTAGGCGTATTATTGAAAAATGCGTATTTCATTACTGATTTCAAATCTGTCCTTCGTGACCTTCAAAGTTGGTTCCAAGAAAAATTACGAAGGTTTTCAATTGTTGTCCTCGCCAAATTTTCCTGGATCTTTGCCAAAATCTTGTCCACAGTGCTCGCGCTCGTAATTATCTCCTACAACTGCAGGCGGCGGGTCTCTGTCCCTCCTGCACTGCATCCTCTAGGCAGAACCCTAACCAAGCGACTATAACCCAGTCATCCTTACCATTTGCTACGAATATAATTATTAGCTACAAATCTAGATGAAATATAGTGATTAATATTTTTTTCTGCAGAAAACTGCAACAAATAAAAAACCAACGATGTTTGAGCAACTAGATTATTCGAATTATTCGAATAGTCGGATATTCGACCATATGTATTAGGTTGGCACATAAGTAATGCAACTTTTTATATAACTTTTATCTATTTTAACGTAGCGCATTCATTTTTTGGCAATATAAGGAATATGATGTAAGCTTCTAATGCACACATTTTTGCCGAATTTTACCGTCTTATGTGAGGATTACGGTAGGTTTACGGTACTATGGGAAAAATTTTAGAATGCATCAGATTTTGCTGAAACTTGGCCTATAGGGCTTATTTGACATGCTGATCACAAAAATGAGATCCGTTTCGCATGAAAAGGCCTCGTTCGTGAGATCAAAAGATGAATTTTATTTTAGCGACAAATGAATATGATATTCGTGTTTACCGCATAGGATTACCCTATAGTGCAAAGTTATAGCGAATTCTGACTTTTCGCAGCTTGGTTATTGACAAATTGCCTTCAAAACTTGACGCATTTGACTTGTTCAACTTCTCAAAGGCGCCCCACTTTAATTTGTGTTTAAATTTCATTTCTTTTTCACTGATTCCAATGTGCCAACTTCCAGCTACATGCTGCTTATAATTGCTTTTTCATATGTTTGAATCAGGTTTCGTAGGGCTTCATGTTTGCCAAAAAAATCGTGAAACCTCGATTTTCAGCAGTTTTCAAAAAATGCTTCGATTTTTTGCACTACGTTATCAAAAATCAAATGGTTTGCGCAGACTTGCAGCTTACATCACGATCTACATGATGTCACAAAATGAGATTGCTATATAAAATAGGAAAAAAATTACTGGAAAAGTTGCAAAACTTATGTGCCAACCTAATAATTATTCGATTGTTAGTCAAATATTTGATCAACCCCATTTATTCAAATATTCGTTCATTCGGTTTTTGAAATGTGATATTGTTCAAATATTCGAATTCGAATAATCTGAAATTCACAGATGAAATAGTATTCGTTCGTT